CTCACCAATGGAATACATTACTAAGGTAATGAGGATGGCTCGCTACAATTTTCATGTCTGTGTGTTCGAGCCGTGAAAGTTAGAACTGGTAGCACTAAGAAATATACTTCGTCTGAACACTTGCTATGGAAATAGTGATAAGAGCATCGAGAAGCTTATGAAGTTTCGTCTGTGGAAAAGGGTTACTAAGATGGGAATAATTCATCACCCACGAGGACGTGAAGATGCTTCTGAACCTGATAAAGACTGGAAAATTTGGGCAAGTTTTTCGCCAGTCACTCCTGGATCGCATACATCATGTTGAAAGGAATAATGTTTTCTGGGTCACGTAACGCTACCCTCGTCTGCTAGAGAGGTTAACTAATCCTTGTTGAAGACATTTGCTCAGGCATATTAGTTTTTGTTCAACAGCATATTTGTGGTTTATACTGGAACTATGCTGAGCGAAATTTCGTAACAGTCTGTAGGAAGGGGCGCATAAGTTGGCGTGATCAACAGTTTGAACAAGGGTAGTACGGCCAAATCCTCGGTCACGATGACTTGTGATTTCGTTCCAGCACAACCATCGACGGCTCCCGACCAGTTCCGTCTACCCTGTTTTATTCACAAGGCTTAGGTTGACCCGTTCAATGGTTGGTTTATCGGTACTTTTCAACTGAGCGTCACGTTGGGATCGCCACCCACAAGCCGATAACACCAAGAAGACATCTAATTGTCAAATCGACCATGTTCAGAATCGAACCCAGCACTTATGGTCGAAATGTGAGTGTGATAGATAGATAGATAGATAGATAAATAGATAGATAGATAGATAGATAGATAGATAGATAGATAGATAGATAGATATGAATAGACTGATGTAGATAAGGAGATAGATAAACTGAGGTAGGTGGGTAGATATGAGCAAACTTAGAGAGACAAACAGATAGATATGAGCAGTCTTAGATAGATAGATATGAGCAAAACTTTGATAGATAGATAGATAGATAGATAGATAGATAGATAGATAGATAGATAGATAGATAGATATGAGCAAACTTTGATATGAATAGACTGAAGTAGATAAAGATATATAGATATAGATAGGTAGATATGAACAAACTATGATAGATACATAGATAACTGCAAACTGTGAGTGATATATATATATATATATCACTGTAAGTGATAGAGTGAGAGAGAGAGAGAGAGAGAGAGAGAGAGAGAGAGAATGTATTGTCTGCAGAGAATTTCTCTCTCTGTATATATATATATATATATATATATATATATATAGAGAGAGAGAGAGAGAGAGAGAGATAATATTAGTGGAAAATATACATACATATGAAAAATATATATATAAAAAAATTTCCATACATGTATATTTTCAGAAAAAAATTTTTCCAAGAGGAAGGATCCAGGTAGAACTCAATGTCTAGGACAGAGTAAGGATATAATAAAAAGGCTTAAACACTAATATTCCATGGTCATAATTTATTCCATTGGAATCGTAAATACGATCCAAATCATCAGACCTACAAATTCAAAATGAAAACAGAAAAAACGTATTGTGTTTATATTCTTGTATAATCTCTTATATTCACATAGTTAAAAATTCTCTTCCCCTTCTCTTGATATAACATCTTTTTTTTCCCTCTATCTCCCTTTCTCTTATTCTGTCTATAGCTTTTTCTTACCCACATAAGCTTCTGCAAACTGCTTCTCAAATTTCATTTATTTATTCACCCAGCCAATACACCCGTTTTATACCCCCGTCCTTTCCTATCATTGCAATCCGTTCGTTTGTAGGTTCTTCGTGTTGCGTAGGATCACATACCATTCTGCGATTACTGTCATCTCCACCTTTGTTCTATTGCTCTCCGCCTTCTTTAATAATGTGTACCACTTTCAGGCACTTGACTGACGACGCTGCCATTTCAACTGGACCAATTGTCTATCTAGACGTAGTGAAAAGAAAGAAATGAAATTGGTAGATAGGATGACTTCAGGTGGGTTTTGAACTGGAAGAGAGCGTGAAAACGAAAAGAAAGGAAGAAAGGAAGGATATGTAATGTTAAAAGAAAAGAAGAAGGAAAGAAAATGCATTTTGAAAGAAAGAAAGAAAGAAAGAAAGAAAGAAAGAAAGAAAATAATGCTAGCAAAATAAGACAGCAAAGAAAAGTAAAAATAAAAAAAGTGAAAAATAGCTGCGTGGAAAATGAAAGAAAAAGAAAGAAAGAAAGAAAGAAAGAAAGAAAGAAAGAACATAATGCTAGGGAAATAAGATAGAGAAAAACTAAAAACTAAAACGATAGTTGATATGATTTTAGGTGCTTTGAACTAAAGAAAGAAAGAAAGAAAGAAAGAAAGAAAGAAAAAGTCATTTGAAAAGAAAGGAAATAGAAAAAAGCATCGTAAATAGAAATAAATAAAAGAGAGTGTGAAAATAAAGAAAAAAGAAAGAACATAATGCTGGCAAAAAAGGAGAGAGAAAACGACAAATAGCAAATGATATAAAGTAAGCAAGAAGAATGATTACTAAAACAAAACTCTAGAAAGAAAGAATGATAATGAATAAAATGGAAAATAATAAATACACTGACGTGCCAAAAGTCATTATATATCAGTATGAAATTGTAGCAGTAGGTAATGGTAGGTCTTCTTCCTGTGCCTTGAAATCATGGAAACGTCCAATCCGACAACTGTGCTCTGACATCCATGTCAGTCAATGTGAATACCGACTCATGGTAAGGCAACATGAATTATCGCAGTTCGAACTGTGCATGAGTCCTGATAAGGTATTGAAAAAATAATTTTTGTTGTGTTAGAAAGGATAAGGGATAGAATGAGAAGATACAGGCAAAAGGTGACATGAAAGCAGATGCATGCGATAAAGGATGATTTTAGATGTATTGGAACACATAAGAGGAGAATGGAAAGATCCATGCAAAAGACGAGGCAAGAGCAGATGAATTAGATAATTTTGTTTTGTTGGAACAGATAAAGAAGAGAATAAGAAGATACATAGAAAGGGTGCGGGAAGAGGAAAGGCATTTGATAATGAATAATTCATTTGTATTGGAAGAAATATAGGAGAAGATGCGAAAATACAGGCAAAACGAGAGAAGTGCAGATGCATGAGATAACGGATAATCTTAGTTGTTTTAAAAGGATAAGGGAGAGAAAGAGAAGATACATGTAAAGGGTGAGAGAAGAACAGAAGCCTGAGATAATGGATAGTCTTAGTTGTCAACAACCGTTTTAATTCCAGATTCTTGCAATTTCGATATCCAGATCTTTATAACTAGAAAATTTGCGAAATAATTATTTCCTTCAGTATCTGTCTATATTTTCTCAGATGAGACATTATGTACACTATTTACATTATTTGGGACTATTGACCTCATCTTCGTTGCTATATTTATCACAACGTTTCGGTCGTTGTACGCCCCGGCCTTCTTCAGGTGGTTGGAATGTCGAACTGAACCCTTTATTTCGCTCGCTGGGTAGACTGTTCTAGTTCCACGTGCCATGTCTAATGGATGTCAGTTATCAGTTATCTCCTATTAATTCACCTCTCCAAGTTCTCCATTGCCTTAACCATGTATTGAACTCACACTCTTTGGATCCTGTCACTAGATCTAACCAACGCCTGTATCCACTGTGCCATGTGTTCTTAAGGACATTATTTCCTTGAAATGTTTTAATTAGATAGCACGGAAATCATTATGAGATAGCATTTATTTTGTTCTAAAGTGTCTTATTATTATTATATCTGGTATTTGGGCTTGTAGTCGGGTACGTATGAGTTTGTATCAGAGTACTATAAGATTTTCCCCTCCTAATAATGGTAGTCTTTTGCATTTATACCAAGTTGCTGTATAGGCAAGTTCTAATATTCACATATGTTCCAAAGCAGGTATTTTCTTAACCTATCACGTCTGTATTTAAATTCTTTTGGGGCTAGGATAGAGTACCCTGATATTAGAATTTCCGCTATTATTACAGTTCGGTCTCTTTAATCCGCCACTTTTAGGAGCAGGTAACTGCCGAACTACATATAATGCCCCTAAAAATCATTCCCCAAAACACCTATGTAAACACAGTCTTGCCAGCTCATTTTATATATACATTGTAGTGTTATCAAAGGTAGAACATAGCTTAAAAGAGAAAATAAAACAATCAATAATGCTTCCAAACAAGGTTTTTATTATTCATACAAAGACAAAAAAAAAAAAAAAAAAAAAAAAACTATATATAAGAAATGAGCAAGATCGTATCACTAAAACACTCTGCTGTAGTCGGCTTCTGTGGAAAGTTGTAAACAACGTGTAGTGCTACCCTTCTGGTCACTCAATGAGATAATGGCGGCTGATTCAAAAAAAATGTACCGGACCATCGGTGTTGCCGGATCATGGTGTACATGTTAAAGAGGTAGCACATTATTATTATTATTATTATTATTAATAATAATAATAATAATAATAAAAATACCGCGTATATAGTACATGACTGTGTATTTCTCTGTTGTACATTTCGTTCTGAGAATGTTTGCATCAATTTCATAGTTTTTTTTTCTTATTCAAACAACGAAGAATCTTACCAAAACTAGTTTTCAAATTTTTACACTGAAAAGCAAAAATTTTTGCATGTATTTATGCAGCTTCACACAACAATTGTTATATTTTTCGACAGGGTACTCGTTGGGGATCTAGGTCTGCGCATATTTTGAATTATAGGGAATGAGATTTCGACCGTATCGGCCTCATTCTTTTTACACGTTTCTTGAAGCAATGATTGACAGGCTATGCGATTCTGTTTTGCTTCCAATCAAACGCGATTAGCGATTGACTGCCAATTCTAAAAGACATATTCTTTTGTAAACTTAACCTAAACAATTTAGGCTTACAGCCACATCATGTTGAAACACCGGTTCCTGTACGATCACCGAATTTAAGCAACGTCGAACCTAGTCAGTATCAGATGGGTGACCGCTTGGGAATACCAGGTACTGTAAGCTTGAATTTGCGGTGGTGTAATAGATAATGACCTAAAATTGTTAATCGGAGAGTCGAGTTCCAATTCCAGTGGATTTTTATATTCACTTACGCACAAATATCCTTGGGAAAGGTATAGATCCACCTCAACTCTCCACAACTATGGGTTAATTAGTAAAACTTGTATCGCTAAACAATAATTATCGCCAAAATAAAATAAAATAAAATTTCGAACAAAATATTTAAATTTCGGCATTAAATAACTTATAGAAGTTGATATACCATTAAACAAAAATAACTAACCAACCATTTAAAAATTAATAAATTATGAGGAAAGAAAGCTTGGGGAATTTAATACTCACAGGGCATTTCGAAGCAGCGAGCAATCGAAACAAGTTTGAGCCAATGGTTGGAAAAACAAGTTCAACAATATAAAAAGAGGTGGTAAGATAACGGATATAGGCGCAGAAAGTGTAATCGACGAGCCGAGTTCAAATTCCGGGCTAATTTGTTGCGATCACTTTCACACAAATTCCCTTGAACAAGACATGAATCCGTCTCTTTACCTCTCCAGCTACGAGTTAAGCTATTTCTAGACTTAGTTGGCAACCACTTGTAGAGAAGTAAAACTCAATCTTTCCTAAGATATATATGGCTATTCACAGAAATCTGTGGAAGGCCATGATCGCTTACATCCCGAATGGAATAAAAGTAATGAATTCTTAACCGTGGAGAAAAAAAACAGGAAACAGATGTACTATCTTTTCCAAGAGAACATGGCAATTCACAGATAATAAAAAAAAAGGAATCTGTGGAGAGTCATGATCGGTTACGTTCTGAAAGGATATGACATTAAAAATCATAGAGAAGGCAACGGGAAACCAACACACTGTATTTCCTAAGAATGCATGGCAATTCACAGATAATAGAGACAAGAAATCTTTGGCGAACCATAGTCGTCTAAATCTTGAAAGGACATGGCATTGTAAACCATAGAGAAGGCAGAGGGAAACTACCCCACAGGCTTTTCTAAGAATACATAGCAATTAACAGATAATAATAAAAAAAGAAATCTGCGGCGAACCATGGTCGCGTACGTCCTGAAGCATGGTCCTATGAAATAGAACATCCTGATTGGACATGAAAGTTAAAGTCATGAAGAAGGCAACTTTTTTTTTCTGCTACATTGAAAAAAATAAAACAAATTAAAATTTATTGAAACAAAACAATTACAGTTGACCACTGATGACAATTCCAGAACAACGTAACAATAAACAATTTTTTCTAACCCCTGCCAGCCGCAATGATGGAGAAAGCATTACCTCGAACCATCGCCAGTGAGACACGGTGCAAGAGCCACTCCATTTCACGAGGCTCGTCCCTTAATCGAGACGCAATCGCACCAATCCTCCGAAGGCCACTCCACTATCTCTCCCAAGAAATCATAACAGATATTAAAGAAATATGTGGAGAGCCATGATCGTCTACGTCCTGAACGGACATGATAATGAAAGCTGTGAAGGCAACTGAAGACCACTCCACTATCTCTCCCAAGAAGTCATAACAATTAACAGATATTAAAGAAATATGTGGAGAGCCATGATCGTCTACGTCCTGAACGGACATGATAATGAAAGCTGTGAAGAAGGCAACTGAAGACCACTCCACTATCTCTCCCAAGAAATCATAACAATTAACAGATATTAAAGAAATATGTGGAGAGCCATGATCGTCTACGTCCTGAACGGACATGATAATGAAAGCTGTGAAGAAGGCAACTGAAGACCACTCCACTATCTCTCCCAAGAAATCATAACAATTAACAGATATTAAAGAAATATGTGGAGAGCCATAATCGTTTACGTCCTGAACGGACATGATAATGAAAGCTGTGAAGAAGGCAACTGAAGACCACTCCACTATCTCTCCCAAGAAATCATAACAATTAACAGATATTAAAGAAATATGTGGAGAGCCATGATCGCCTACGTCCTGAACGCACATGATAATGAAAGCTGTGAAGAAGGCAACTGAAGACCACTCCACTATCTCTCCCAAGAAATCATAACAATTAACAGATATTAAAGAAATATGTGGAGAGCCATAATCGTCTACCTCCTGAACGGACATGATAATGAAAGCTGTGAAGAAGTCAACTGAAGACCACTCCACTATCTCTCCCAAGAAATCATAACAATTAACAGATATTAAAGAAATATGTGGAGAACCATGATCGTCTACGTCCTGAACGGACATGATAATGAAAGCTGTGAAGAAGGCAACTGAAGACCACTCCACTATCTCTCCCAAGAAGTCATGCTAATTAACAGATATTAAAGAAATATGTGAGAGCCATGATCGTCTACGTCCTGAACGGACATGATAATGAAAGCTGTGAAGAAGGCAACTGAAGACCACTCCACTATCTCTCCCAAGTAATCATAACAATTAACAGATATTAAAGAAATATGTGGAGAGCCATGATCGTCTACGTCCTGAACGGACATGATAATGAAAGCCGTGAAGAATGCAAAAGAAAACCACTACAGTATATTTCCCAAGAAGTACGGAAATTAATAGATATTAAAAAAAAAAAGAAAGAAAAGATCGTCTACGTCCTGAACGGACATGATAATGAAAGCTGTGAAGAATCAACTGAAGACCACTGGCATTTCCCAAGAAATCATAACAATTAACAGATATTAAAGAAATGGAGAGTCATGATCGTCTACGTCCTGAACGGACATGATAATGAAAGAAAAAAAGAAGGAACAGGGAATACTGATAAGAAGTCAAACAAAAGATATTAAAGAAATATGTGGAGAACCATGATCGTCTACGTCCTGAAAAAGACATGATAATGAAAAACCTTGAAGAATGGCAATCAAGACCACCACTATCTCTCCCAATGAAATCAAAACAGTAACGATATTAAAGAAATATGTTGGAGAGTTAGATCGCATCCAGCCTGAACGACAAATAATGAAACGTAGATATATATCCCGAGACCACTCCAAAGTCTCTCCCAAGAAATCCCGACAATTAAAGATATTAAAGAAATTGGGATCGTTGATCGTCTAACGTCCTGAACGGACATGATAATGAAAGCTGTGAAGAAGGCAACTGAAGAAATATCTTCCCAAGATTTATTTATTAAAGAAATGAGGGGAAAACGAACGTCCTGAAAGAACATGATAATGAAAGCTGTGAAGAAAACTGAAAAGGTATGAAGAAATCAAACAATTAACAGATATTAAAAGAAATATGGAGAGAAAGGTGTTCTGAAAGGAAAATGAAAAAGTGAAGAAGGCAACTTAATGAAGACTATCTCTAAAAGTAATCAAAAAAGAAAACAGAATTAAAAAAAATGAAAAGTCTACGTCCTGAACGGACATGATAAACAAAGCCGTGAAGAATTGCAAAAAAAAAAGAAACAGTAAAAGAATAGGAAAGACAAAACAAAACAAAAAAAAGAAAAGAAAAGGAGAGAAAGAAAGAAAGAAAGAAAGAATCAATAACACCTGGCATTTCAGAGATGATAAGGAATGTGTGGAGAGTCATGATCGCCTACGCAAGGAATGGACATCTCATTAAAGAAAAAAAGGAACAGGGAATACTGATAACAAGAAAAGATGGAAAAGAGAACCAGATAAGATCCTAAAAAGACATGCCAAAAAGAAAACCTTGAGTAAATGAAAGCGTAATCATTTAAAAAAAATGAAATACAGTAGCGATATCGGACAAATAGACATTGGTCGGTTAGTAGGCATCCAGCCAGGTAGACAAATGTAAACGTAGATATATATCCCGATAGTTGGTTAAAAGTTCTCCTACAGACCCCGAGTGGAAAGAAAACAAGATTGGGATCGTTGACACTAACCAAGAAGGGAAGCAAGAAATTTGAGAAGCTTTGTAGTCGAAATGTTTTATTTAATTATTCATTTTATGAGGGGAAAAAACGGAAGAAAGAAGAACTATGGAAAGATGTAAAAGAAAAGGTGTGAAAGAAATAAATGTAAATATTGGGTGCAGGAGGAAAGGTGTTCTTAAAGGGAAAAGAAAAAAGGAAAGAGATTTTTTTTAATGAAGAGGAAAAATAAAATGTTGAAAAAGAAAGAAAGGATGAAGTTAAAAAAGAAAAGAAAAACGGGGGAAATAAAAGATGGTAAAACAACTAAAAGAATTGCAAAAGAAAGAAAAAAAAAGACAATAAAAAAACAAGACAGAAGGAAAAAAACGGATTTAACAAGAAAGAAAAAAAAAGAAAAAATGGAAAAAAGAAACAAAGAAAGAAAGGGCAGTAATAAATAAATTGGCAAAATAGATAAAATGAAAGAGAAGACAAGAAAAGAAGTGGGAAATGGGAAAAGAAAGAAAGAAACTGGAAAAGCAGATAAGAAAGAAAAAGAGATGTAAAAAGAAAGAAAGATAAGAATGGCTGTAAAAAAAAAGATAGGAAAGTACTAAAGAAATTGGCGAAATAGATAAAGGAAGAAAGTCAAGACAAGGAAAGAAGTGGGAAAAGAAAGAAAGAAAGAACTGGAAATGCAGATAAGAAGGCAAAAAGAGAAGACAATATGTAAAAAGAAAGAAGGAAATTAAAACGGATAAGCATGAAAGAAAAAGAAGTGTAAAATGGGAAAAGAAAAAAAGAAAGTGAAAGCGGTAGAAAGAAAGAAAGAAAGAAAGAAAAAGAAAGAAAGAACTGAAATGCAGATAAGAAGGCAAAAACGAAGACAATATGTAAAAAAGAAAGAAGGAAATTAAAACGGATAAGTATGAAAGAAAAGAAGTGTAAAATGGGAAAACAAAGAAAAAAAAAAGGGTAAAGAAAGAAAGAAAGAAAGAAAGAAAGAAAAAGAAAGAAAGGAAAGAAAAAAAAGAACTGAAATGCAGATAAGAAGGCAAAAAACGAAGACAATATTTAAAAAGAAAGAAGGAAATTAAAACGGATAAACATGAAAGAAAAAGAAGAGTAAAATGGGAAAAGAAACAAAGAACGTGAAAGCGGCAGAAAGAAA